TAACCTGCTATTTCTACGTTCTCAATCAGAGTCATTTGATGTTTTTATTTGGTGGAAATTAAATGCCCCAAAATATCCTTCAGCATCGGTCATGGCACGAGATATCCTTGCAATTCTGTTAACTTCAGTGGCCTCTGAGGCTGTAAATGTCAATCTATTGACTATGTATAATTTTTAGTTTCAATCATAAACTAATTTATACTTTATATTTAGATATTTAGTACTGCTGGAAGGCTTGTTAATGACTATTGGTCAAACCTTACTCTGGAATCAATTGAAATGTTGATTTGCGATCAAGATTGGTTAAATGGTGTAAACAAATATAGTTAGAATTAAACTGGCAGTTTTTTTCTGGGAATTGTTTTTTTCAACTTTTTTTTTTTGGCAACCTTTTTTCTTGGTAGCTTTTTTTGTTTTTTCTTGGCAGCTTTTTTTTTTCTTAGCCGTCTTTTTTTTCTTGGTAGCCTTTTTTTTCTTTTAATGATGTTCTTTTTTTTTGTAAACAAAAAAAAAAGCAAATTGAAAGTCTAATAATAAGGATTAGGAAACAAACATTGTATATTGATATTTTATTTTTGTCATTTTTCTTGTCGCAAGATCAACTTTTTAATATCAAAAATTTTTTTTTGCACATAATTGAATTTATTATATGATCACGAATAATACCTAGGATTTGGTATTTTGATAGATTTTGTAAAGTATTGACATTATAAAAATTTGTTTAGTACTAATTAGCCGATAACTTAAGTTTCACCTTCTGATCTCAAACTTTTACAATATGAATTTTTATTTTAGCCAATTTAGAACAATTTAATCTTATTTATTCTAATCATTTTATTTATAATTTTTGAAACCAATTGAAAATTGTCAGTGACTGAATTGACAAGTTTTTTGATATGGTTTCAATATAGTAACTTATCAATTTGGTTAAAAATTTTTAGCTATTTCAGAATTTATTATGAAAACAGCTATAATTAAAATTTTATAAACTGCTGGACCAGATCAGACTAGACTGAATTAGGCTATAATTTGAAGTATCTTGGCCCGAGCATCCACTTTCTTTATATAATTATTGGGTCAGGTCGGGTTAGGTTGGGCCGAGTTATAGTTTGAAGTGACCTGACCCGACCCAAACTTGTAACTTTTACTAGGCTGGACACGGGCTTGGGTTTATAAAATTTCTTCAGGCTTGGGCTTAAATTTAGAAAAACCTGGCCCGACTCGGCCCATTCTGAACCCTAGCTGCTATGGTCCATATTAGACTTTAGATTTGAAAAATGTCTGTCTGTTTGGCATATAACTTGTTAGTGATTGGTTACTATGTTCTGCACTAGATCTTTGATTTGAAAAATGTTTGTCTGTCCAGCATGTAACTTGTTGGTGATTGGCTATCTTCCCAGCATCGCCAACAAAATTTTTGCGATCACGTAATGATTGATAAAATTGTTTAAGTACTTTTATATTAGGGTTAGCATTTAAACTAAAGTTGAATATAAAAAGGAATATAGTAAAATTTCTTATAGAATTTTTTTTGTTAGTGCATAAAAAATCATTTCTTAAGCAAATTTTTGAGATAAAGACAATTTTTTCTAAACAGACGTTTGTTTTGATTATATGATATTATACCAAATCAAGATTCTTTATTGGATAATTTGTTGTAGATCATCACGTGATTACAAAAATTTTATTATAGTTATATAGTAATTTTTGTTGATGATCCTGGGGTAGTTGTGATTGGCTACTATATTCCACACTAGACCTTTGATTTGAAAAATATCCATCTGTTCTGCACGTGACTTGTTGGTGATTGGCTGTTACATTCACACTAAACCTTTGATTTGAAAAAATGTCTATCTGTCTGACACGTAACTTGGTAATGATTGGTTGTTAAGGTCCATACTACAGCACTAGACCTTTGATTTGAAAAATGTCTGTCTGTCCACCATGTAACTATACTGTAATTGGCCATTATGGACTACATTAGACTTCTGATTAAAAAAAATTCTACATGATATTATTTATATACATTAAAAAATAATATATATATATTGTAAAACTCTAATTAGTTTATTTAACTAATTATTAAAATATGTTATGCTTCGGGCTTACAACAGTTCCTGTTAATCTAGTCTAGTTAAAATTTTAAGATATTAACAATTTTATAATAGAGGACACTGAGTACACAGGGCACTATCTTTTTAAAATTGATACTTCTAATCTATATATGAGAGGAAGTTAGTAGAAATGAAGCAAATTTATTAGATAAATTTGTTTTATTTCTACTAATACCCCCTATATATTTTAAAAATATATTTATTCAAATATTACTAATTCAATTTCAACATACCAAACAAAATAATTTATTTAAAACTTTCAATTTTACTTAAAAAAAACTTATAAAGCCAACTACTTTAACTAAACAATCAATTGAAAAACTAATTTAAATCAACTACAAAAAAAACCAGTTCAAATTCAAAAAAATATATATAAACACTACTATTTAAACTTTAATTCATCTTACTATAGCATTTCAATATAACCACTATATATTATTTAAAATCCTACTTTATCTATAATCAACATCAATAATACATAACAATTTCCAAAATGAATACCTTTCTGTAAACTAACTGTATAAAAATATTTATTCAACCTTAATCCTAACCTATGCTTTTATTTAACAAATTTAATTCGTTTTAAATTGATGCTATTGATCGAAAATGGGAGATCTATTTTTTGGTTTTAGTTATAAACCCAAATTAAGTAAATTTCCGATTCCAAATCCAAACTATGTAATAACGTTATATTCAAAAAAACGGGTTGAGAAACCCTAGCTTTAACGTCGTAACAGCCTCCTTTGATAATTATGACTAGTAAATCCAGTTTCCTGTTTATATCGTCTAAATGCTTCTCGTATATGATCAGGAGACAGTGGTCCTTCTGAACCCCACTCTTTTTTAATGTCCAGTGCTTTTTTTAAATCATTAGAAATTAGTTGTACGCGCAAATGCAAATAAATTAAATTATAATTTTACTATTATATCATAATACCTTTCTCAACGATTTCTCCGATAAAGATCTTGGAGAACCCGGCTACTACAATTGAAATATTATTTGAACATGGTTGTCCTAAAATACCACTTACCAACTAGTGTTTCAAATAAATGTGCCATGTAAATATAAATTGTAGAAATAACAATGTAAATAGATTTAACGTGGATTAACCAGCTAGCTAATACCTTTTTGATATTTGGTTTGCTCAAAGCCGAACGTCTATATACTTCAAATCGTTCAGTTTGCTCTTTCGAGAAAGCTTTTAGTAACATACTTGAACAACATTGATTCATTAATATCTTTAAAGATACCAAAAACATCTTAAAACAAAAGCTCACTTGTGTTGTTCATAGACTCGTGATCGCATTTGGGCTCGCTGTAAATCCGATTCCGCAGTTGCACCAACTTCATCATCTTCATCTTCGTCGTCATCCTCCACAGGCTTCACATCTTTATTTGATTTCTCAAAATCAGTATCGGTTATTTCTTCATCCCGTCTAATGTATTGATCTATTTCTTCGCCAGGTGTCTGTGGAGTGAAATCTCTGAGCGTCGAGGGATTAATATTTGAAGTAGGATTTGTTGTGGTTGAATGAGCACCAGTGCCCTCTAAATGTTCTAACATAAGAGCCCCAGAAGATTGCTGACGTTGTAAACTTGGCTTACGGCCACGGGTACTACCGCCCCTACCACCTCTACCACCTCTGCCAGCGCCTCGTGTAGAACTTTCATCTTTTCCAGTTTTCGTAGCATTACTAACACTATTACGTTTGGTAACTCGACCACTTGCGACTGGAGGCGCTGTATGCGATTTTGCTGCTTTTGGACGTCTTGAAGCTTTAGTCCCACCAGTGGCAGAATTTTTTCGTTGTATATAAGGTGAGATCAGAGGGGGAGAATTGTTATTCATCAATTCAGAGTTAACGAATAAACACAAAAACAATTTCTCCTCAACAGAAGTTCTTTTGATTGGATATGGACGAATCTAGCTGCGCAATTATCACCGTCAAAATTAACTACCCCAAAAATTCTGCGCACCAATCAGCTTTCAAGATCGGGAGTAACGTGAAATTATACCTAAAAAATTTCGCACGACCAATCAAAATTTAGCGATCATCCAAAATTTTTAAAATTTTCCAAACTTCTATCGAAAGTTTCTCAATAACTACTTGATCAAATTCGGTGAAATTTTTTTATTTCAATTCCATACATTTGTAGAATCAAAATAAAAAATATTATTGAATTTTGTATAGTGGTTGTTGAGAAATCCTAGCTAGAAGTTAAAAAAAACTTAGAAAATCTTAAAAAAAGAAAATTAGGCAAAATTTTCTTTTTCTAAACTTTAAGCAAGGATTTCTTGACAACTACCTATCCAAATTCAATGAAAATTTTTTTATTTTAATTCTGAAAATTTATAAAATTAAAATAAAAAAAAAACATTGAATTTGTATAGGCAGTTGTCAAAAAACATTAATTAAAAGTTAAAAAAACATTTAGCTACAACTTTTTTTTATAGATATTTAAAATTTGAATGAATATTACTTTGACCAAATTTAATTAAATTTTTTTTATTTTGATTATATAAGCTTATAGAATTAAAATAAAAAAATGATTGAATTTAATTAGATAGATTTTGAGTAATATTTATTGGAAATTGCTATTCATACCCCTATTTTTGCTATTCGTACCTCTATTTCTGTAAAAAAATATTTAACTGTATATTATATAATATAATAATTGAAACATAAAACAATATATGGTCTGTATACAAGTAATATTAAAACTCAAGGCATAAAATTAACTTCTTTTATTACAATTATTTATATAGAGGGTGGTATTAATAGCAAAAATGGGGTATAAATAGTAATATTCTATTTATTTAAAGTTTAAATTTATATTGTTACAAGTGAACTGTAGCCTTCTTAATACAGCACAAGTAACAAAGCACACAGCTATAGAGCTCCGTTGCGAGATTAT